GACATGGAGCAATGGAGCAGCTGGAGACTTTAGATCCAGAGAGGGAGAGCAACTGTGTGCTGAAGACCTGTGGGGTACGGGGGAAGGATTGCATGGAGGGGATTGTAACCATGGCAATGAGACGATATACGATAGAATGAATGTAAAACTAATGTTCTCCCATGTAAACTATCACATAATTTACAATAAAACATTTAAGGGAAAAAAAAAAAAAAGTATCCTGTAACAGTCAACTTGGATCAGTGGATATCAGAGACAACCACATGCAAATCCAGATAGCAGATTGAGGGCTTCTTCAGAGCCCCAGTCAGACTGCATCAGACAGGCCTTCCTGGAGACAAGCAAGTCTTCTTGCCAGACTTGGGACTTCTTGAACCTAGGGCTTCATCTTCTTCATCAGATGAGACTGATAATGACATCAGGGGCCAAGCCTCCTTTACCAGAGCAGGCTGACTTTGTTTCTTCCTGTTCTCTGCTAACCTCTGAATCCTGCAGGATCCAGCCTCTCCCTGTGTAGAACCTAGATCCCAGTTCCCACTCTCTGCCCACCCAGCAGTTCTACCCAGAGTGGTCCTGTGCACCCTCAAGGCATACAGTCCCTGCTCTGGTTCAAACTCTGGTCCCAGTTCATTCATGCCAATGATGGGATGACTTTCTCTCTGTCTGCTTCTAGACATTTTGAGGGAAATACACACAGAACAGAAATTCTGCTGTGCAGGCCTCCACAGTCTCAGGCCCACGGAGGAGGCAGAAAACAGGAGCTAGGACCAGGCAACCAAGAGTCAGGGGGAAATTATCTGCTTACATCAGCTACTATTACCCACTTGGGCCAGAAGGCACCAGCCCTGAGTTTATCTGAATTTCATGTAGGGCCATCTGAAATTTCTACTTGGGTTTCCCCAGCCAAGAGAGGCTTCTTCTTAGACCTATGGAAAGAGTGTGCAAGTCATCCATCCTCCCATCTATCCACCCATCCATTCATCCAGGTAGATATTTATTGAATGCCTCTTCCAAGCCATACCCTGTGCTGAACACTGAGGACAGATTGAGGAATGTGCCTGCTCTAAACTGAGACTGAGAATAATTTGACATTTACAAAGATAAGTAGAACCTAAGTTAAGTTCAATGACAAAGATATAGGCGAGACTGGCAGGAGAAAGGTAGGAGGCAGAGAAGTCCACAGAGAAGTCCACAGCAAATTGAGTCTTAAAGAATGGTCAAGAGTTGGCCAAGAGGACAGGGACAGAAAGTATCCCCAACAGAAGGAGTGGTGGGGTACAGCCATGAAGAAATGAGAAGAGGAGAGCCCTGGACTTCTGAGGACTTCACAGCAGTGAAGCTATAGAGTAAAATCTCCTGCCTTTGTAGAAACAAGGTCATAGAATTGAACGGCAGAAATGCCCCTGGAATTGGTGCAGAAAGATGAGAGAGAACAAAAAAAGGCGGAAAAAAATTCTAAATGAAGAATGAAGCCTCTGTAAGCACATCTCCAGGGAAAGCTTTAAAGCTGAGCTTTGAGGATCCTGTGCCCAGCCCTGTACGTAAGTGTGCTCTCATGCTCTTGAGGTTGTTTGATTGATGGTTCAAAGAAAGCAAAACCTTCTGAAGTCCCAACTCCATCCGTGAGTGAAAAATAAGCGGTGGCCTTAAGTATCCAGTACTGTCTACCTAGGCCTGGAAGTGTGTGCAGGGTAAGACCAGCATCCTGTAACCCAGAAAGGAGGGTGACAGCCTAGAACAGAAAGTGACAGATGGTGGTGATCTTGATGAAGCCTTTTTCCATTTCTACTGCAGGAAGGTCTGGGTGATCTCTACCCTGCAGGCTCTGGATCCACCCTCTGGTCCAAAGTGGGGAAAATGTTCCTCACTCTATAAATGATGCCACAGACCTCCTGCCATGACATTGGCATTGGCATCTGGGTCATAACTGGTCCTAGGGTGCTGAGCAAGGGTGACTCTTACATGGCCACAGGATGGATACTCTTGGAGTAATAAGGTTCCTTTCCTGCTCTTCTCCCTTTCTCTTCTTGAAGGATGTGGGAATGGTGGGAGAAGGTCTGTTAGCTTGGCTACAGGCCCCTTTTTCTGAAACAGGCCCCTTTTTCTGAACTGCCATCAGGCACAAGCCCATAGATGAATCTGCCTTCTAGGAAGAGGTACCTAACTACCCGTCCAGAGGTGTAGTACCCTACATATGGCCCAGTCACTCACCCACTGTGTTCCTTTCCTCACACTTGCTCCTCTCACCCTGATTTATTGAGTGATCTCAGGAGAAAGCACTCAACATGACCCAAGGTAGAGGGGTCATTTTCATTTTCCCCATGCTCCTGGGAAAATGGATTTGATCTTGCCCAGAAACCAAATTTTCCTACCAGAGAGAGGTTTTTCAGAGGCTATCGAATAAGGTATGGTGAAGGAGAAGGAATGGGAAGATATAAGGGATGGAGGGTGGAGGGAGGTACTCAAGACCAGTTCTTGATGGGAGTTGGTGTCTTCCTTGGAGACCAGTGCTCATCCTACCTGCAAGGGGATGAGGGGCTCCTTGTCGTCAATGTCGATGAGCACGTCTTCCCCAGGACTGAGTAAGCTCTCATCGTCTGTGGAAAGAGCAAAGCCAGGCTGGAGATGGGGATTCCTTCACAAGCCTCAGCCACAGACAGTGACCCCCACTGGCACCAGAGAACTGAGGGACGAGACAGTGTCTCTCCATACTTCCTCATCTCTTTTTCTCCCACTTTCTTCTTCCTTTTCCCATTATGTCTACTCCATCTTTCTTCCCATTCTGTCTCCCCAATTCTGTCTCTCGCCCCTCCTTATCTTTCTCTTCTCCTTCCTTACTCCTCCTGTCTGCCAGTATCTCTTTCTTCCTCAATTCTCATCCACCACCACTCCCACCTCGACTGGAGCACTCGCCTCTCAGTTCCCACAGGACTGGTCATCTGTTCCTGGTATCAATATTTCTACCCTGAGGAAGGTGAGATTTCAGCCTTCTGGTCTAGCTGGTCAGACAACATTCTCATTCAGATCTCAGAAAGAGAAAGACTTCGGGATATATGTCAACTGGGAAAACCTGCCTATTTCCGAAGTTTCCTCTACCCAGGCCCTCCCAACCAGCAGACCCTCTCCCTACCTGGGCCACCCTGTGGGGGTGGGCTCCCCATTGAGTAAGGGTCACACAGGAAGCTCTCCAGTGAGCGGATGGTGCACTGACCCACCACAGGCCGTCGGCCAAACTGGCGGTTATCGATGACCTTGACCACAATGGGAGGACAGTAGAGTTCCTCCCTGGGTAGCATCTGGGGAGAGGAAGAAGGGCAGTTCTGGGCACTGACTGGGATTCCTTCTCTAGGAAGTCTATATTTGGGGTGAAGGAGGCCTTTCTTCATAGGGCAGTGATAAGAAATCCTCTAAACCCCCAGATAACTCCCAACAGCTATAAAGCCAAAATGGCACTTAACCAAGCCCAAGAGCTGTCCAATGGTGCAGAGAAGCCACACACCCTCTCTGTCTGCCTCTTGACTGCCGTGTGTAGAGGTTCTCCCACAACTTATACCTTCCAAATAGATCCAACTCAGCCAGGAGTTAAAGCAAGTCGCCTTTCCCTGAACCCTCCCTGGCTGGAGAGGGAGAACAGGGGAGAAGTTGGCCCAGGAGTCAACATCTCTTACAGACAGTCCCCCCGCCCCAAGTGGATACTCAAGAATTGGCTTACAGACCAAGATTCCTTCTCCTACCACTCCCCCCCCCCACCCCACCCCAAAGCACTTTGAACACAACTTGAAATAATTTATACGCTCTCCTTCGGTGGCGGCTTTGGCTCAGCCAAGAGGAGGCTCCTGTTGACAGCCACTGGGCCTGGAATTTCTATAGCACTTTCATCTTGCAACCATTTTCCTTTCCTCAGACTTGCCTTACTCGGACCACTAGGCCCAGGCAGCTGAAGGACCTGGAGAGGTCTGGGAGGCTCAACCCAGGCAAGGCAGAAGGGCCAGGCTGGGGATGAACCTGGTCAGGGGAGGCTTGGGGGAATCACTGAAGGTCAGGGCCCTAGCAGGCCCCTGAGGGGAAGGGAAACCAGCCACAAAACAGCTCTCGAGACTTCTGTTGATCTGATATCTGTGTATAAGGGAACAAGCTGGTCCCACTCATACTGCTCAAAGGCTCCAATGTTCCCAGTGAGGACAGCGTGAACACTTCCTCCCCATTTTACAGAACAGGAATAATGAAGCCAGAGAAGTATCATGACCTACTCAGGGTCCTGCAGCGAGTCGACACAGCACTCAGGCTGCCATATGGAAATGTTAGCCACCAGCATTCTGCAAGGGGACAGCAAGGAGAGTATGGCTCACCACTTCCATGAAGAGGGTACAGATGTCAAAGTTGGGGTTCTTCCGAAGGTTTCTGATAACACAGGACTGCACTGTCTGGCCCCCACACTCCACCACGAGGCTGGGGGATGAGACACTGGCCAGCTGGTAACTCTTCATGTTTCGAAGTCCCCATGCCAGGATCTGGGGGCAGAATAAGGAGAGTGTTGGAAAGGTCCCAGGAATGGAGGCCACTTGGCTAGACCAGTACTGCCTAAGCTGGGCTCACCTCAATGGCAGTCCTCTGGAGAACTGGTTTGATGTTCTGGGGGACCACGTAAATGTTGGCTTCCCTCTGGGGTGGCGGGTAGGGCAAGTCAGTGTCTTCTGACTGCAGGGGACAGCAGGCAGATCCGAGATGAGGTGGGAGGAAGAGAAAGACAGAGACAGAAAGAACATCATGTGTGGGGAGACAAACACATAGGCAGAAATGAGAACGTTGCCACTTTTTGCCAGGAACCATCTTTCTCGTGGTCACAATTCAAACAACTTGGCCCAGAATTTAGACGACCCTGTCTCAAATGCAACCCAAGTCACATGATGCAGATTCTGATGCATTCATGAGCTGCTCAGGGTCTGCCCTTCCCCAGCACACACATATACACAGAGAACACACACATGCGCACACACATACACACGGGCACTTCCACAACATCCCTCTCTCTCCCTCTAACCTCCTTTGGGCATGTGGCACTCTCAGTCCCAAAGGGGCCATGTCCCCTCCCTCAAGACCAGTGCTTTCCCCTCAGATTCAGACTCTCCTGATTTGCCAATTGCCCTAGTATTTCATCGCCACCCATCCCACATCCAGCACACCCTCCAGCCTCAAACCCCATTTACCACACCTGTCCAAGGGAAGGATGTTGAACCTGCACTGAGGGCCAGAAAGACCAGAGCAATTTACAAACAGGAGGTTGTGGTTGTTGTTGTTAAGTGCCGTGGTGATGGTGGTGTGCTGTGGAGTCAGTTCTGACTCATAACGACCCTGCATAGGGTTTCTGAAGCTGTAAATCTTTACAGGAGCAGAAAGCCTCATCTTTTTCCCGCAGAACAGCTGGTAATTTCAAACTGCTGACCATGGGGTTACTAGACCAACTTGTAACCACTATGCTGAGTCAGTTCTAACTCATAGTGATCATGTATAGGGTTTCTGAAGCTGTAAAACTTTGTAGGAGCAGAAAGTCCTTGGAGCCGCTGATGGGCTTGAACCACTGACCTGTGATTTGCAGTCCAGTGCTTATCCTACATCGGCACCATGCTCCCCACAAATGGGAAGAAGGCATATAAAATGACTCCCATCCACAAAGCACCATGGGGGGGGGGGCGGGGAGCTGGTGGTCACTAGCACAGACCAGGGAGGAGCAAGTGAGTGTCCACTGAGTCCTACACCAAGGGTTGGCCAAAAAGACTTGGGCAAAAATCCCCAGTAATCATGAAGAACTGCAGGGTGGAGCTGGATGGGGTTAGGGAGAAGGTACTATGGTGAATTAGGGTTAGCCAACTACCAAGGCCCAGGAAGGATGCACAGTGATAAGGAGCATAGTCTCTGTGGTCTCTGGGAGTGAATCCTGTCTCTTTAATGAAGTTAAGTAATTCATGGCACTCTTTATGGCTCAATTTTCATCTACAAAGCGGTTGTTAAATGTTATCAACCTCTAACATTATTGCAAGGCTTGAAGAAACGAATACCTTTACCACATAGGAAAGAGTGCCTGGTTCATGCAGACTCTTAATAAGACAACCACTGCTAGCCCACGTGGTGCCTTTGTGACAATTAGAGAAAGATGTCCCTCTCTTAAGACTCTACGTCCATGTCCGAAAATCTTCATCGGGTGCCTAGTTTATTAGAGCAAGACACTTTACTGCCATCTACTGGGAAATGGCTAAAATAAATACAAATTGAAGCTGAGCCCACGGCTGTGGACTTGATTCCACCTCATAGGGACCCTCACGTGACAGAGTAGAACTGCCCCCACAGGGTTTCCAAGGCTGCCGATCTTTACAAAAGCAGACTGCCATCTCTTTCTTCTACAGAGTGGCTGGTGCGTTCAAACGGACTGCCTTTAAATGCATAGCCAAGAGCCTTAATCATTGCACCACCAGGACTCCTAATAAATACAAATAGAATTCCCAAGTGAGATATCATTCAACAGATACAAATAAATGATACCCATCCTAGGAATGGAGTCCTGGTGTGTGGCACTGCGGGTTAATGCACTAGACTACAAGGCTGGTTTAAACTGCAGCGTCAGCTATTTCAGCTCACCAGCCACTCCTTGGAAACTCTATACAGGGCCGCTATGAATCGAACCAATTCAACGGCCCTTAACAACAACAACAACAACCCTAGAAATTGCACTTCCTTAGACACTGAACCTTGTGCAGTACACACTCTGCACGTCAATACAAATGTTAGCTGCTGCTACTTGCCATCAAGTTGGTTCCAACTCATTGTGACCCTGTATAGTTTCTGAGGCTGTAACTCTTTGCAGGAGCAGAAAGCCTCATCTTTCTCCTGTGGAGCCACTGGTGCATTCGAGCTGCTGACCTTGTAGTTATCAGCCTGATGTGTAACCCATTATGCTACCAGGGTTCCTATGTTGAAAAGAGTTGTGCTAGACACTTTACAGAGCTTGCCTCAAGCAGATACAATACATGATGGAATCTTCATTTTCCAAGTAACTTGCTTTGGGCTCCTCTCAGAGGGTGCTGCATCCATCCACAGATGCCCTGAAATGGATTGTGGAAACAGAAAAATACTACACCTTCTCACAAACACAAGCCACTTCACAGCCAACCATAGTCCCTGGCAGGTAATGGTCAGAAGCCCAGCTCTAGAATCAAACAGACCTCCATTTCAGTTTCAGTCCTGCCACTTCCTAACGGTTTGACCTTAGACAAATTATCAAACCACTCCGACTCAGTATCCCCATATGAAGATCTGGGAGAGCAATGCCTATGCCCTGAGAATTCAAAGAAAAGGAAATGCAAAGAGGACTGGCACAGAGGAAGTACTTAATAAAAGGTGACAGGAACCATGGTGGTACTGTGGGTTAAGCATTGGCTGCTAACTGCAGTCAGTGGTTCAAACTCACCAGTCTATTTCCATACAGATTTGCAGTCTTGGGAACCCCATGGAGCAGCTCTATTCTGTCCTATATGATTCTGTGAGTCACAATTGACTCTGTGGCAAAAGGTTTGGGTTTTTGTTTGTAATGACTAATCATCATCTGAACTGTTAATACCATTTGCTTTTACTGTTACTGTTGATCTTCCCAAGAACACTTGTGTGAAGAGCTGGCCCATCAAGGGCATGTTTCAGAACAGATTTCACTGGCTTTATAATTACTACTAACTCACCAGGGCAGAATGAGTGAATGTGTGGAACATCAGATGCACAATGCAGGTAGGTGCACGAAGCAGGAAGCACCAACATGTTTAGGCTGTCTGAGAGACTGGAGGAGAGGGGGGGCAGAGCTGCCTGGGCACATGTCTCCTGGGGCGCATGCGTATCACAGCCTATGTGACTATGCCTCTTGGATTATCAGTATGGGAGGCAGGGCCCGCATGATAGGGAGACCCCTGGCTTGATGCCCACACTTGGCACTCCAAGCACCAGCTGCAGCGGCTGTACAGACAGTGATGGACTCTTTAAATGAAGGACCGTGCCTGGCGCTTGCTCGTGGCCCACTCATGCCTGCCTGGGGCTGATGCCCAACTCAGTGTGGGCCTAGAGCCAAAAGCCCCAGAGGCAAAAGGAAAAAAGGACCAGGAAAGGAACTCAAGCTCCCCAGGGTGGGGAGGCAGAAAGACCAAACCTTCCCCACATGGCTGCAACATTCCCCTGAAATCGCCAAGGAAAACTCATTAATGTGTTTCCCTCTGGAACTTTCCTCTCAAGGCCCCCAAACTCTGAGCAGCATCCCATTGATTCCTCTTATCCCATATACCCACATTCCATCTTTCCTTCTGGGCTCCCTTGAGCTCTGTGCGTAGACATTTGGGTCACCCATTTTTCAAGAACTTGTTCATGGAGAAGGAAAGAGAAACAACAACCTGGAGAAGGTTGAGCTCTAGGACCGGGTGGAGATGGCCCTGGAGGAAGAGGGCAGGTGCACACAGCTGTGGAGCATCAGGGGGCCAGCGGAGGCAGGAGAGAGAGACAAGCAGAGACAAGTTAGAGTGTGTCATGGGGCAGCTCCCTCAGCACAAGGCCACCATCCCTGTCCACCTTGTGGTCCCCCCAGGGTCCCTGTCTCCATGGACCCCCTCCAGCCAGCCTATATGCCACTGCCCCTCTGGAAGCCTGTTAATATTAAACTTAGACACCTAATCTCTCTGTGGTCCTCTGAACCTCTAACCTGTTGTTGTTATGTGCTGTGGAATTGGTTCTGACTCATAGCGACCCTGCACAGGGTTTCCGAGGCTGCTAATCTTTACGGGAGCAGAATGCCTCATCTTTCTCCCACGGAGCAACTGGTAGTTTCGAACTGCTGACCTTGCGGTTCACAGCCCGATACGTAACCACTACACTACCAGAGCTCCTTGAACCTCTACCTACTCCTCCTCAATCTCTTGTGCTACCTACTGGAGCTTGCCCTTCTTTAAAAGAACCCCATGTCTCTCAGATACACCCATGCCATCCTCTCTGTGCCTCGTCAACTCAGCCTCCCTAACTCTCTTCCCTCCTTCACAGTGAAGTTTCAAGAACTGTCTACATCCACAAGTTCTCCTCCCTTGTTTTCACTCCCACCTCAACCCAACACTGCGCTCTGCTTCTGCCATCTCCCCACACACCCACTCCCCTGAAACTTTTCTCTCCAAAGTCAACAACGACCTGTTTATAGCTGAACCCAGAAGACACATTTGACTCGTACCTGTCTCACCCCTTCAGCAAACCTATGATTCCACACAGCTAGTCCCTTTCTGGCTGCTCCTACATTCTGCTTACTGAGTCTTCTCAGCAGCACCCCTCCTCCTTTCACCCTGAAACACCAGGGTTCCTATCCCTCTCATAGACCTTCTCTTCTCCATCATTTCTCCTAAGCTCCTGGTCCAAAGTCCCAACCTCTTACTGTTCAATAGATCTGTGTGCCTTGCAGGCTCTCAAACTGAACTTGTCAAAAATTAGATTTGTTATCTTCCCTTTAAAACCTGCTCTCTTCAAATGTTCTTCTCTAAGAAATTGGCCCCACCATCCACCTAGGCAGGAATCAAGACAAAAATCCCTCTGCCATATCAGGCCCCTCCTCGTTACCATGGCTATCGGATCACAAAGCCTTGACAATTCTGCCTTCTGTTATCTCTCATATCTGCTCTCCTTGGTTCAAT